GAGCTGAAGAGCTCGATTCTCTAGCTTCGTTACGCTTGGCGCCAGTAAATACCCCGAGTCTTCCTGTCCCCAAATCCCTGGAAACCTTTTTATATGAAGGCTACACCTGCTAAGTATCGGCTAAGCTTCAATTCTCCTCAAATCTTAAATCTTTAGCCTGAAGCCCCCTTACTAAGCTCGGAACTCGAGGCCATAAATCCGAAAATTCAGGTGCTGGGTGGTGCCACTTCTTGAAACTGATGTTGAAATTTCCGATCGCGACGACTGTCAGAAGAACATTGATGACGCTTTCCGCCCCCTGCAGCCCGGTTACAATATCTGCGTCATGTTCCAAGGCCCCAAACCCTATTTGGGGGTTTCCGAAAATAGGGGACCCTATTATAGTACCCCAAATAGTAGGATCCTTATTATAAGGATACCCAAGTAAGGTACCCTAATTTTCGGAAACTCCCATTTGAGCTTATCGTTTAATTAGGGGATTGTGAGCTCTTCGTTTAGATGCCATGAGGCACAAGTTCTGCTGCAGGAAAGCTTGGGAGTCACTATAAGACTGCAGATGAGTTACAGTAATAACGTGGTCGCAAGTCGTGCGAGTGGTATCTGCCAAGAAAGGCCGTAAAGTAATTGTCCCGGCTATCTTTCCTCTCAATCAGTTGTTCCGTAGGTGTAGGCAAGTATGCTGTCTTGCGGCTGGGGTCCGGGGTCGTGTGGGGCGGGGAACATTATAGGCAGCTGGGAGGGCCGTGCGGGTCGGCGGGGATGGGTAGTGTTTTAGGAGGGTTGGGGTTACTTCAAGGTACAATGTTAGTCAAGCGATTTCTACACTTAGTTTTGAGGTTTCATGGGTAGTTTTCAGTAGCTTTTGGCTTTTGTGCAGTTGAACGCTTCGAACCTTTACCTCCCCAGGCCCCAACCCCAGCATACAGCCTCGACCTATGCGAGCATGCCTGATCACATTTGGTCTTTAAGAGTTCAACCTTAGGTTCATGTAATTTACAGGCCTTAATAGTTAGAATCGGGTTTTGGGGTATATTATACTATTTTGCTAATACGGAACCCCAGAAGCCTATTCTAGTTATTACGGCCCCTACATTAGTATTAATCAGTTTTGGATCCTACAAGCTCCACCCTACATCCTCCACCCGAAATGTTAAACCGAAAACTGGGGTTATAAGTCCCCGAACATGGGTTATAGTTACAGTTACCCTACTTCTAACCTTACTTAGAACTACCCATGAACCTCCAAGTTGGACTTTCGGATCGGGTCATGGCGGCCTCGTGCAATCTCTGATGAGGCAGAGTTTCAATCGCTTGGAATATGGGCTTTTCCGGTAATTAGGGTACCCCATTTTGGGGTCCTTATAATAAGGATCTTACTATCTAGGGTACTATATTAGGGTCCCCTATTTTCTGAAACCCCCATATGGGCTTCAGTTTATCTGTCTGGTGCTTAGTAGTGAATGGGGGAAGGTTATAGGGACTACTATAAGGGACCTTATAGGACTATCATGGGGATCCATTCCCCCATTCCCTACTAAGCACCAGACAGTTATGTAGCGCTGCGCTTGCAACGGTCCGGGGCTTGCGGGTGCAGGATAGTGCAAACGAGGTCTCGTCTCCCTACTTGGAGGGTCGGGGGGACTTAGTAAGTGGGTCATAAGTAGACTTATAAGTACCCTAAAAGGGATCCTAATTGGGGTTATGATACTTATAACTCTATAAAATAACTAGTTACTAAGGCCTCCGACCCTCCAAGTAGGTTCCCCACATAGTAGGAAAAAGGGTACCTTTATTATTTAAGGGGCTACTCGGGAACCTAGACTTTCCAGGTATGAGGCCTGGCCAACTGCCACGCCAGACCATCAGAATGAGAGGACAACGCTGGGCCGTTGCACCGCGGGCAAGCTGAGATATTTTGCCGAAGCTTTCAGCACAGACGGGATGGTACTGGACTGGCTGCCTCTGCGCCGGCTCCTAGACTGGAGGTTTAGAGTGGGCTCTCCATAGGAACCATTTTGCATTTTGTATAACTACTGTACACTCATGGTGGTATTCGCTATGTTTGTTTATCTGGGTATGAACGGCTAGAGTCGATGACAGAGTCACCCCATGCTATGTCTTTTCTTTTATTGCGCCCTGGTGCGCGCATCCGACTCTTGATCAAGGGCTTTGCAAGGCTCTCCGAACCTCGGGCCTTGAACCCTCGGCGCTTAAAGCCTCGTTTGAAACCAGTTGCTTGTAAGACAAACCTCGACAAACAAGGCAAGTTAAGACAACAGTTGACAAAGCAAGCCAAGCGAAGACAGCGCTTGTACAGTAGATGCCAACCAGGACGAAAAACAGCAAACTAGAAACTGTATGGCGAGGCGGCGAGGCGCTTAGAATGTACTAGTTTTTTTTTTCAAAACATTGCAAGACTTTGTAGAAGCTTAGAAAGATTGCCCGAGATTTATACTTCAAGAGTTTTCGGTGAACAGGGGGGGGGGTCTCGCCCTGGTGGTCCGCCGTGCAAAAGCAGCGAATTTTGGAGTGTTTCAGTCGATTCAATACTGGGAAATGTCCAGCGTCTTATGCTGAAATTCGAATCACGCCTTCTGAGATTCAATAAGACTTCAATCAGACTCAGTAAGAGCCAGTAAAAAAGCAATAAGATCTTGCATGGGCCATGCCACACTTGTAATCATTTTTCAATCGTTCAATAACACTCTATAAGACCAGAAGAAGGCTCAATAGGATTCATTTGGTTCTTCAACAAGAATCAATAAGATTCAGGAAGAGTCAGTGAGATTTTATCAGATTCAACAGGATTTTGCCGGGTCCAGCACTTTAGCTTTAAGCCCCGAAACTTTAAGCCCTGTTGCTTAAAGCCCCGCGAAGTTTAATGGCCTGTGGTTCGAGGTCCTCTTAGAGTTGTTTGAGAGTCATGTGTAGTTTATGGAGTTTCGGGCTGGTAAAGGATACGATTTGGGGGTAGACCGATAAAGTGTTGTGGACCAAGTGCACGAACTCGGGATAAAGGCTAATCAAGACAACGGAACGAGTAAATGGACACGCATGAAAACGAGCAAAAGCACACACTGACAAAAATGCACAAAGTTACACTGGAGGACAACTAGAGACAAAGAACACAAAATAGTGACAAAGCAAGACAAAAGCAGAATCAGACAAGAATCAAGAATATTTTGGCGCTAAATGCTCTGAGGGTTTAAGGCCCGGATTTGAGAGCGCGCAAAGCCTGAAGGACTGTAGACCCTTAAGCCTTAATCCTCCAGGGAAACGTATGACGCAGATGCACCGGCGGCTATCTGCACGGACAAGGTAGCAGAGAAACTGCTCGAGCACGTCAACGGCCTTGAGAAGGACTGCCGCTACTGCGATTGCTGGTGCTGTGTCACTATAGCCACTACTACTAATTACTCCTCCTCCTACTACTACTACCACTGCTGCTACTGCCACTTCTAGCTACTACTAGCACTACTACTAGCAC